CTTTCAAAAATCCTGAATTCAAGATTCTGACCGATTTCAGGATTTTAGGTTTCAAAAATCCTTAATTTTAGATTTTGGCCGATGTTAAAATTTTAGCTTTCCAAAATCGTGAATTCAAGATTTTGGCCGATTTGAAGATCTTAGCTTTCCAAATCCTAAATTCAAGATTTTGGGTGACTTCAAGATGTTAGCTTTTCAAAATCCAGAATTGAAGTTTTTGGCTGAATTCAATATCTTAGCTTTCCAAAATCCTAACTTGAAGATTTAGCCCGATTTCAAGATCTTAGCAGTGCAAAATCCTGAATTCAAGATTTGGCTCGATATCAAGATGTTAGCTTTCGAAAATCCTGAATTCAAGATTTTGGACGAATTCAAGATCATAGCTTTCCAACATCCCTAATTCAAGATTTGTGCCGATTTCAAGATATTATGTTTCAAAAATCCTGAGTTGAGCATTTTGGCCGATTTTAAGATTTTACCTTTCCAAAATCGTGAATTCAAGATTTTAGCCGATTTCAAGATCTTAGTTTTTCAAAATCCTGAATTCAAGATTTTGGCCAATTTCAAGATTTTATCTTTCCAAAATCGTGAATTGAAGATTTTGGCCGATTTAAAGATTTTACCTTTCCAAAATCGTGAGTTCACGATTTTTACCGATTTGAAGATCTTAACTTTTCAAATCTTGAATTCAAGATTTTGGGTGATTTTAAGATCTTAGCTTTTCAAAATCCTGAATTCAAGTTTTTGGCCAATTTCAAGATTTTAGCTTTCCAAAATCCTGAATTCAAGATTTTGCCCGATTTTAAGATTTTAGCTTTCCAAAATCCTGAATTCAAGATTTCGGCTGAATTTAAGATCTTAGCTTTCCAAAATCCTGAATTCAAGATTTGAGCCGATTTCAAGATTTAAGCTTACAAAAAATCCTACATTTAAGATTTTGGCCGAATTCAAGAGCTTAGCTTTCCTAAATCCTGAATTTAAGATTATGACCGATTACAAGATTTTTTCTTTAAAAAATCCTAAATTCAAGATTTTTGCCGATTTCAAGATTTTAGCTTTCCAAAATCTTAAATTCAAGATTTTGGCCGATTTGAGGATTTTACCTTTCCAAATTCGTGAATTCAAGATTTTTGCGGATTTCAAGATCTTAACTTTCCAAATCTTGAATTTAAGATTTTGGATGATTTTAAGATCTCAGCTTTTCAAAATCCTGAATTCAAGTTTTTGGCCGATTTCAATATCTTAGCAAACCAAAATCCTGAATTTAAGAGTTTGGCCGATTTCAAAATCTTAGCTTCCAAAATCCTAACTTGAAGACTTGGCCCGATTTCCAGATCTTAGCTTTCCAAAATCCTGAATTCGAGATTTCGGCCGATTTCAAGATTTTAGCTTTCCAAAATCCTAAATTCAAGACTTTGGCCAATTTCAAGATTTTAGCTTTCAAAAACCCTGAATTCAAGATTTTGGCCGATTTCAAGATTTTACCTTTCCAAAATCCTGAATTCAAGATTTTGGCCGATTTTAAGATCTTAGCTTTCCAAAATCGTAAATTCAAGATTTTGGGCGATTTTCAGATATCCAAAATCCTGAATTCAAGATTTTGGCCGATTTCAAGAGCTAAGCTTTCCAAAATCTTGAATTCAAGATCTTGGCCGAATTGAAGATTTTACCTTTCCAAAATGGTGAATTCAAGGCTTTCGCCGATTTCAAGATCTTAGCTTTCCAAAATCCTGAATACAAGATTTTTGGCCGATTTCAAGATCATAGCCTTCCAAAATCCTATATTTAAGATCTTGGCCGCTTTCAAGAGCTAAGCTTTTAAAAATCTTGAATTCAAGATTTTGGCCGATTTGTAGATTTTACCTTTCCACAATCGTAAATTCAAGATTTTGGCCAATTTTAAGATCTTAGCTTTCCAAATCCTGAATGCAAGATTTTGGGTTATTTCAACATCTTAGCTTTTCAAAATCCTGAATTCATGCTTTTGGCCGATTTCAAAATCTTAGCTTTCCAAAATCCTGAATTCAACATTTCGGCCGATTTTAAGAGTTTTGCTTTCCAAAATCCTGAATTCAAGATTTGGCCGATTTCAAGATTTTACCATTCCAAAATGCTGAATTCAAGATTTGTGCCGATTTCAAGATTTATCTTTCAAAAATCTCGAATTGAAGATTTTTGCCGATGTCAAGATCTTAGCTTTCCAATATCCTGAATTCATGATTTTGGCCGATTGCAATATTTTAGCTTTCCAAAATCCTGTATTTAAGATTTTGGGCTTTTTCTAGATCTTAGCTTTGCAAAATCCTAAATTCAAGATTTGCTGGATTCCAAGATTTTACCTTTCCAGAACCCTGAATTTAAGATTTTGGCCGATGTCAAGACCTTTGGTTTCCAAAATACTGAATTTAAGGTTCTGGCCGATTTCAAGATTTTAGCTTTCAAAAATCCTTAATTTAAGATTTTGGGTGATTTCAAGATCTTAGCTTTCCAAAATCGTGAATTCAAGATTTTTGCCGATTTCAAGATTAAAGCTTTCCCAAATCCTGAATTCAAGAGATAGGCCGATTTCAAGATCTTAGCTCTCCCAAATCCTGAATTAAAGATCTTGGCCGATTTCAAGTGCGGAGCTTTCGAAAATCGTAAATTCAAGATTTTGGCCGATTTCGAGATTTAAGCTTTCCAAAATCCAGAATTCATGATTTGGGCCGATTTCAACATTTTAGCTTTCCATAATCCTGAATTGAAGATTTTAGCCGATTTTAAGATCTTAGTTTTTCAAAATCCTGAATTCAAGATCTTGGCCGATTTCAAGTGCTGAGCTTTCCAAAATCGGGAATTCAAGATTTTGGCCGATTTGAAGATCTTAGCTTTCCCAAATCCTGAATACAAGATTTTGGCCGATTTCGAGATTTAAGCTTTCCAAAATCCAGAATTCATTATTTGGGCCGATTTCAACATTTTAGCTTTCCATAATCCTGAATTCAAGATTTTAGCAGATTTCAAAATCTTAGTTTTTCAACATCCTCAATTCAAGATCTTGGCCGATTTCAAGAGCTGAGCTTTCCAAAATCGTGAATTCAAGATTTTGGCCGATTTCAAGATCTTAGCTTTCCAAAATCCTGAATTCAAGATTTTGGCGGATTCCAAGATTTTACCTTTCCAGAACCCTGAATTTAAGATTTTGGCCGATGTCAAGATCTTAGCTTTCCAAAATGCTGAATTGAAGATTCTGGCCAATTTCAAGATTTTAGCTTTCAAAAATTCAGAATTCATGATTTGGGCCGATTTCAACATTTTAGCTTTCCATAATCCTGAATTCAAGATTTTAGCAGATTTCAAGATCTTAGTTTTTCAACATCCTGAATTCAAGATCTTGGCCGAATCCAAGAGCTGAGCTTTCCAAAATCGTGAATTCAAGATTTTGGCCGATTTCAAGATCTTAGCTTTCCAAAATCCTGAATTCAAGATTTTGGCGGATTTCAAGATTTTACCTTTCCAGAATCCTGAATTTAAGATTTTGGCCGATGTCAAGATCTTAGCTTTCCAAAATGCTGAATTGCAGATTCTGGCCAATTTCAAGATTTTAGCTTTCAAAAATACTTAATTTAAGATTTTGGGTGATTTCAAGATCTTAGCTTTCCAAAATCGTGAAATCAATATTTTGGCCGATTTCAAGATTTTAGCTTTCCAAAATCGTAAATTCAAGATTATTTCCGATTTGAAGATTTTACCTTTCGGAAATCGTGAATTCAAGATTATAGCCGATTTCAAGATCTTAGTTTTTCAAAACCCGGAATCCAAGATCTTGGCCGATTTCAAGAGCTGAGCTTTCCAAAATCGTGAATTTAAGATTTTGGCCGATTTCAAAATCTTAGCTTTCCAAAATCCTGAATTCAAGATTTTTCCCAATTTCAAGATTAAAGCTTTCCCAAATCCTGAATTCAAGACTTAGGCCGATTTCGAGATTTTAGCTTTCCAAAATCCTTAATTTAATATTTTGGCTGATTTTAAGATCTTAGCTTTCGAAAATCGTGAATTCTAGATTTTGGCCGTTTTCAAGATTTTTGCCGATTTCAAGATTGAAGCTTTTTAAAATCCGGAATTCAAGACTTAGGCCGATTTCAAGATCTTAGCTTTCCTAAATCCCGAATTCAAGATTTTCGCCGATTTCGAGATTTAAGCTTTCCAAAATCCAGAATTCATGATTTGGGCCGATTTTAACATTTTAGCTTGCCATAATCCTGAATTCAAGATTTTAGCCGATTTCAAGATCTTAGTTTATCAACATCCTGAATTCAAGATCTTGGCCAATTTCAAGAGCTGAGCTTTCGAAAATCTAGAGTTCAAGATTTTGGCAGATTCCAAGATTTTACATTTCCAGAACCCTGAAATTAAGATTTTGGCCGAATTCAAGATCTTAGCTTTCCAAAATCCTGATTTCAAGATTTGTGCGATTCAAGATTTTTGCTTTCCAATATCCTGAATTGAAGATTTTGGCCGATTTCAAGATATTATCTTTCGGAAATCTGGAATTAAGCATTTTGGCCGATTTTAAGATTTTACCTTCCCAAAATCGTAAATTCAAGATTTTAACCGATTTCAAGATCCTAGTTTTTCAAAATGCTGAATTCAAAATCTTGGCCGATTTCAACAGCTGAGCTTTCAAAAATCCTGAATTCAAGATTTTGGGCAATTTCAAGATCTTAGGTTTCAAAAATCCTGAATTGAAGATTTTGGCCGACTTCGACATTTTAGCTTTCCAAAATCGTGAATTCAAGATTTTGGCCGATTTGAAGATTTTACCTTTCTAAAATCGTGAATTCCAGATTTTGGCCGATTTCAAGATCTTAGCTTTCCAAATCCTGAATTCAAGATTTTGGGTGATTTCAAGATCTTACCTTTCAAAATCCTGAATTCAAGTTTTTGGCGGATTTCAAGATCTTAGCTTTCCAAAATCGTGAACTCAAGATTTTGGCCGATTTGAAGATCTTAGCTTTCCAAATCCTGAATTCAAGATTTTGAGTCATTTCAAAATCTTAGCTTTCCAAAATCCTAAATTGAAGATTTGGCCCGATTTCAAGATCTTAGCTTGCCAAAATCCTGAATTTAAGATTTTGGCTGATTTCAAGATTTTAGCTTACCAAAATCCTGAATTCAAGACTTTGGCCGATTTCCAGATGTTACCTTTCCGAAATCCTGAGTTCAAGATTTGTGCGATTCAAGATTTTTGCTTTGCAATATCCTGAATTGAAGATTTTGGCCGATTTCAAGATATTATCTTTCGGAAATCCGGAATTAAGCATTTTGGCCGATTTTAAGATTTTACCTTCCCAAAATCGTAAATTCAAGATTTTAACCGATTTCAAGATCGTAGTTTTTCAAAATGCTGAATTCAAAATCTTGGCCGATTTCAAGAGCTGAGCTTTCAAAAATCCTGAATTCAAGATTTTGGGCAATTTCAAGATCTTAGGTTTCAAAAATCCTGAATTCAAGATTTTGGCCGATTTCAAGATCTTAGCTTTCCAAAATCCTGAATTCAAGATTTTGACGAATTTTAAGATTTTAGCCGATTTCAAGATTTAAGATTTCAAAAATCCAGGATTCAAGACTTAGGCCGATTTCAAGATCTTAGCTTTCCCAAATCCAGATTTCAAGATTTTGGCCGATTTCAAGATCTTAGGTTTCCAAAATCCTGAATACAAGATTTTTGCCGGTTTTAAGATTTTAGCTTTCCCAAATCCAGATTCCAAGATTTTGGCCGATTTCAAGATCTTAGCTTTCCAAAATCCTGAATCCAAGATTTGTACCGATTTCCAGATATTAGCTTTCAAAAATCCTGAATTCAAGATTTTGGGCGATGTCAAGATCTTAGCTTTCCAATATCCTAAATTGAAGATTATGGCCGAGTTCAAGATTTTATCTTTCCGAAATCCTGAATTAAGCATTTTGGCCGATTTTAAGATTTAACCTTTCCAAAATCGTGAATTCAAGATTTTGGCCGCTTTTAAGATCTTAGCTTTCCAAAATCCTGAATTCAAGATTTGTGCCGATTTCAAGATTTTATCTTTCCATAATCCTGATTTCAAGATTTTCAGAGATTTCAAGATCTTAGCTTTCCAAAATCCTCAATTCAAGATTTTGGCCGATTTTAAGATCTTTGCTTTTCAAAATCCTGAATTCAAGATTTTGGCCGATTTAAAGATCTTAGTTTTCCAAAATCCTAATTTCAAGAATTGTGCGGATTTCAAGATTTTAGCTTTCCAAAATTGTGAATTCAAGATTTTAGCGGATTCCAAGATCTTAGTTTTTAAAATCCTAGATTCAAGATCTTGGCCGAGTTCAAGAGCTCAGCTTTCCCAAATACTGAATTCAATATTTTGGCCGATTTCAAGATCTTAGCTTTCCAAAATCTTGAATTCAAGATTTTGGCCGATTTCAACATCTTAGTTTTCCAAAATCCTGAATTCAACATTTTGGCTGATTTCTAGATCTTAGCTTTCCAAAATCCTAAATCCAAGATTTTGGCGGATTCCAAGATTTTACCTTTCCAGAACCCTAAATTTAAGATTTTTCGGCCGATTTCAAGATCTTAGCTTTCCATAATACTGAATTCAAGGTTTTGGCTAATTTCAAGATCCTAGCTTTCCAAAATCCTGAACTCAAGATTATGGCCGATTTCAAGAATTTAGCTTTCCAAAATCGTGAATTCAAGATTTTGGCCGATTTGAAGATGTTAGATTTCCAAATCCTGAATTCAAGATTTTGGGTGATTTCAAGATCTTAGCTTTCCAAAATTCTGAATTCAAGAGTTTGGCCGATTTCAAAATCTTAGCTTTCCAAAAAGCTAAATTAAAAATTTTGCCCGATTTCAAGATCTTAGCTTTCCAAAATCCTGAATTCAAGATTTGTGCCGATTTCAAGATTTTAGCTTTCAAAAATCCTGAATTCAAGATTTTGGGCGATGTCAAGATCTTGGCTTTCCAATATCCTAAATTGAAGATTATGGCCGAGTTCAAGATTTTATCTTTCCGAAATCCTGAATTAAGGATTTTGGCCGATTTTAAGATTTTACCTTTCCAAATCGTGAATTCACGATTTTGGCCGCTTTTGAGATCTTAGCTTTCCAAAATCCTGAATTCAAGATTTGTGCGGATTTCAAGATTTTAGCTTTCAAAATCCTGAATTTAATATTTTGGCTGATTTCAAGATCTTAGCTTTCCAAAATCCAGAATTGAAGATTTCGGCCGATGTCAAGATTTTAGCTTTCCAAAAGCCAGAATTCACAATTTTTGCCGATTTTCAGATTTTACCTTTTCAAAATCCTGAATTCAAGACTTGTGCTGATTTTAAGATTTTAGCTTTTCGAAATCCTAAATTCAAGATTTGGGTCTGTTTAAAGATCTTAGCTTTCCAAAATCCTGAATTCAAGACTTTGGAGGATTCCAAGATTTTACGTTTCCAGAACCCTGAATTTAAGATTTTACCCGATGTCAAGATCTTACCTTTCGAAAATCCTGAATTTAAGATTCTGACCTATTTCAAGGTTTTAGCGTTCAAAAATCCTTAATTTAAGATTGTGGCTGATTTCAAGATCTTAGCTTTCCAAAATCGTGACTTCAAGATTCTGGCCGATTTCAAGATTATGGCCGATTTCAAGATTTTACCTTTCCAAAATCCTGAATTGAAAATTTTGGCCGAATTCAAGATCTTAGCTTTCCAAAATCATGAATTAAAGATTTGTGCCGATTTAAAGATTTTCGCTTTTAAAACTACTGAATTTAAGATTTTGGCCGATTTCAAGATTTTAGCTTTGCAAAATCCTTAATACAAGATTTTGGCCGATTTCAAGATCTTAGCTTTCCAAAATCCGGAATTCAAGATTTTAGTCGATTTCAAGATTTTACGTTTCCAAAATAGTGAGTCCAAGATTTTGGGCAAATTGAAGATCTTAGCTTTCCAAATTCAGAATTCAAGATTTTTGGCGATTTCAAGATCTTAGCATTTCAAAATAAAGAATTCAAGGCTTAGGCCGATTTCAAGATCTTAGCTTTGCAAAATCCTTCAATTCAAGATTTCTGCCCATTTCAAGATCTTAGCTTTCCAAAATCCTGAATTCAAGATTTTGGCGGATTCCAAGACTTTAACTTTCCCGAACTCTAAATTTAAGATTTTAACCAATGTCAAGATCTTAGCTTTCCAAAATCCTGAATGTAAGATTTTGGCCGATTTCAAGATTTTAGCTTTCAAAAATCCTTAATTTAAGATTTTGGCCGATTGCGAGACCTTAGCTTTCCAAAATCGTGAATTCAAGATTTTGTCCGTCTTTACGTTTTTAGCTTTCCAAAATCGTGAATTCAAGATTTTGGGCGATTTGAAGATTTTAGCTTTCCAAATCCTAAATTCAAGATTTTGGGCGATTTCAAGATCTTAGCTTTCCAAAATTCTCAATACAACACTTCGGCGGATTTCAAGATCTTAGCTTTCTACAATCCTGAATTCAAGATTTGGGCCGATTTCAAGACCTTAGTTTTCAAAAATCCTGAATTCAAGATTTGTGCGATTTCAAGATCTTAGCTTTCGAAAATCCTAAATTCAAGATTTGTGCGATTTCAAGATTTTAGCTTTCAAAAATCCTAAATTCAGGATTTTGGCCGCTTTTAAGATCTTAGCATTCGAAAATCATGAATTCAAGATTTGGGCCGATTTCAAGATCTTAGCTTTCCAAAATTCTGAATTCAAGATTTTGGCCGAATTCAAGATCTTAGCTTTCCAAAAACCGAAATTCAAGATTTTCGCCGATTTCAAGATTTTACCTTTCCGAAATCCTGAATTAAGCATTTTGGCCGGTTTTAAGATTTTACCTTTCCAAAATCGTAAATTCAAGATTTTAGCCGATCTTAAGATCTTAGTTTTTCAAAATCCTGAATTCAAGATCTTGGCCGATTTTAAGAGCTGAGCTTTACAAAATCGTGAATTCAAGATTTTGGCCAATTACAAGATCTTACATTTCCAAAATCCTGAATTCAAGATTTTGGCCGATTTTAAGATTTTTGCCGACTTCAAGATTAAAGCTTTCCAAAATCCTGAATTCAAGACTTACGCCGATTTTAAGATCTTGGCTTTCCAAAATCCTGAATTCAAGATTTTGGCCGATTTTGAGATTTAAGCTTTCCAAAATCAAGAATTCAGGATGTTGGCCGCTTTCAACATTTTAGCTTTCCAAAATCCTGAATTCTAGATTTTGGCCGATTTCTTTCCAGAACCCTGAATTTAAGCTTTTGGCCGATCTCAAGATCTTAGCTCTCCAAAATGCTGAATTTAAGATTCTGGCTGATTTCAAGATTTTAGCTTTAAAAAATCCTTAATTTAAGATTTTGGGTGATTACAAGATTATAGCTTTCCAAAATCGTAAAATCAAGATTTTTGCCGACTTCAAGATTTTACCTTTCCAAAATCGTGAATTCATGATTTTGGGTGATTTGAAGATCTTAGCTTTTCAAAATCCTGGATTCAAGTTTTTGGCTGATTTCAATATCTTAGCTTTCCAAAATCCTGAAAAGAGTTGGGGTGATTTCAAGCTCTTAGCTTCAGAAAATCCTGGAATCAAGTTTTTGGCCAAATTTAATATCTTAGCTTTCCAAAATCCCGAATTCAAGATTTTGGTTGATTTCAAGATTTTAGCCCTTCAAAATCCTGAATTCAACACCTTGGCCCATTTTAAGATCTTAGCTTTTTAAAATCATGAAGTCAAGATTTGGGCCGATTTCAAGATCTTAGCTTTCCAAAATCCTGAATTCCAGATTTTGGTCGAGTTCAAGATCTTAGCTTTCCAAAATCCTGAATTCAAGATTTGTGCCCATTTCAAGATTTTGGTTGTCAAAAATCCTGAATTCAGGATTTTGGCCAATTTTAAGATCTTAGCATTCGAAAATCATGAGTTCAAGATTTGGGCCAATTTCAAGATCTTAGCTTTCCGAAATTCTGAATTCAAGATTTTCGCCGATTTCAAGATTTTACCTTTCCGAAATCCTGAATTAAGCATTTTGGCCGATTTTAAGATTTTACCTTTCCAAAATCGTAAATTCAAGAATTTAGCCGATTTCAAGATCTTAGTTTTCCCAAATCCTGAATTCAAGATCTTGGCCGATTTTAAGAGCTGAGCTTTCCAAAATCGTGAATACAAGATTTTGACCGATTTCAAGATCTTTGCTTTCCAAAATCCTGAATTCAAGATTTTGGGCGATTTCGAGATTTAAGCTTTCCAAAATCCAGAATTCATGATTTTGGCCGATTTCAACACTTTTCCTTTCCAAAATCCTGAATTCAAGATTTTGGCCGATTTCTATTACTTTGCTTTCCAAAATCCTAAAGTAAAGATTTTGGCGGATTCCAAAATTTTACCTTTCCAGAAACCTGAATTTAAGATTTTGGCCGATGTCAAGATCTTAGCTTTCCAAAATCCTTAATTTAAGATTTTGGGTGATTTCAAGATCTTAGCTTTCAAAAATCGTGAATTTAAGATTTTTGCCGATTTCAAGATTTTAGCTTTCAAAAAATCGTGAATTCAAGATTTTGGCCGATTTCAAGATTTTAGCTTTCCAAAATCGTCAATTCAAGGTTATGGCCGATTTGAAGATTTTACGTTTCCAAAATAGTGAATTCAAGATTTTGGGCGATTTTAAGATCTTAGCTTTCCAAATTGTGAGTTCAACACTTTGGGCCATTTCAAGATCTTAGCTTTCCAAAATCCTTCAATTCAAGATTTTGGCCGATTTCAAGATATTAGCTTACGAAAATCCTGAATTCAAGATTTTGACGGATTCCAAGACCTTACCTTTCCAGAACCCTGAATTTAAGATTTTAGCCAATGTCAAGATCTTAGCTTTCCAAAATCCTGAATTTAAGATTCTGGCCATTTCAAGATTTTAGCTTTCAAAAATCCTTAATTTAAGATTTTTGCCGATTACGAGACCTTAGCTTTCCAAAATCGTGAATTCAAGATTTTGTCCGTCTTGAAGATTTTAGCTTTCCAAAATCGTGAAATCAAGATTTTGCATGATTTGAAGATCTTAGCTTTCCAAATCCTAAATTCAATATATTGGCCAATGTCAAGATTTTAGCTTTCAAAAATCCTGAATTCAAGATTTTGGCCGATGTCAAGATCTTAGCTTTCCAATATCTTGAATTCAAGATTTTTGCCGATTTCAAGATTTTACCTTTCCGAAATCCTGAATTAAGCATTTTGGCCGATTTTAAGATTTTACCTTTCCAAAGTCGTAAATTCAAGAATTTAGCCGATTTCAAGATCTTAGATTTTCCAAATCCTGAATTCAAGATCTTGGCCGATTTTAATAGCTGAGTTTTCCAAAATCGTGAATTGAAGATTTTGGCCGATTTCAAGATCTTAGCTTTCCAAAAACCTAAATTTAAGATTTTGGCCGATTTCAAGATCTTTGCTTTTCATAATCTTAAATTCAAGATTTTGGCCGATTTCAAGTTTTTTTGCCGATTTCAAGATTAAAGTTTTCCAAAATCCTGAATTCAAGACTTAGGCCGATTTCAAGAACTTGGCTTTCCTAAATCCTGAATTCAAGATTTTGGCCGATTTCGAGATTTAAGCTTTCCAAAATCCAGAAATCATGATTTTGGCCGATTTCAACATTTTAGCTTTCCAAAATCCTGAATTCAAGATTTTGACCGATGTCAAGATCTTAGCTTTCCAAAATACTGAATTTAAGATTCTGGCTAATTTCAAGATTTTAGCTTTCGAAAATCCTTAATTTAAGATTTTGGGTGATTTCAAGATCTTAGCTTTCAAAAATCGTGAATTCAAGAATTTGGCCGATTTCAAGATTTTAGGTTTCAAAAATCGTGAATTCAAGATTTTTGGCAGATTTCAAGATGTTAGCTTTCCTAAATCCTGAATTCAAGATTTTGGCCGATTTCAAGATTTTAGCTTTCCAAAATCTTGAATTCAAGGTTATGGCCGATTTGATTATTTTACGTTTGCAAAATAGTGAATTCAAGATTTTGGGCGACTTTAAGATCTTAGCTTTCCAAATTCTGAGTTCAACACTTTGGGCGATTTTAAGATCTTAGCTTTCCAAAATCCTTCAATTCAAGATTTTGGCCGATTTCAAGATATTTGCTTAGGAAAAGCCTGAATTCAAGATTTTGGCGGATTCCAAGACTTTGCCTTTCCAGAACCCTGAATTTAAGATTTTAGCATATGTCAAGATCTTAGCTTTCCAAAATCCTGAATTTAAGATTCTGGCCGATTTCAAGATTTTAGGTTTCAAAAATCCTTAATTTATGATTTTAACCGATTTCGAGACCTTAGCTTTCCAAAATCGTGAATTCAAGATTTTGTCCGATTTGAAGAATTTAGCTATCCAAAATCGTGAATTCAAGATTTTGCATGATTTCAAGATCTTAGCTTTCCAAATCCTAAATTCAAGATTTTGGGCGATTTCAAGATCTTACCTTTTCAAAATCCTGAATTCAAGATTTTGGCCGATTTCAAGATTTTAGCATTTGAAAATCCTGAATTCAAGAGTTTGGCCGATTTCAAGATCTTAGCTTTCCAAAATTCTCAATTCAAGATTTTGGCCGATTTCAAGATCTTAGCTTTCCAAAAACCTAAATTTAAGATTTTGGCCGAGTTCAAGATCTTGGCTTTTCATAATCTTAAATTCACGATTTTGGCCGATTTCCATTTCCTGACAAATTACTTTGCTTTCCAAAATCCTAAATTCAAAATTTAGGCGGATTCCAAAATTTTACCTTTCCAGAACCCTGGATTTAACATTCTGGCCGATTTCAAGATTTTAGCTTTCAAAAATTCTTAATTTAAGATTTTGGGTGATTTCAAGATCTTAGCTTTCAAAAATCGTGAATTCAAGATTTTTGCCGATTTTAAGATTTTAGCTTTCCAAAATCTTGAATTCAAGATTTTGCATGATTTGAAGATCTTACCCTTCCAAAATCGTTAATTCAAGATTTTGGCCGATTTGAAGATCTAAGCTTTCCAAATCCTGAATTCAAGTTTTTGGGTAATTTCAATATCTTAGCTTTTCAAAATCCTGAATTCAAGAGTTTGGCCGATTTCAAAATCTTAGCTTTCCAAAATCCTAAGTTGAAGATTTGGCCCAATTTAAAGATCTTAGCATTCCAAACTCCTGAATTCAAGATTTGGGCCGATTTCGAGATTTTAGCTTTCGAAAATCCTGAATTCAAGACTTTGGCCGATTTCAAGATCTTGGCTTTCCAAAATCCGGAAATCAAGATTTTGGAAGATATGAAGATGTTTGCTTTCCAAATCCTAAATTCCGGATTTTGGGTGATTTCAAGATCTTAGCTATTAAAAATCCTGAATTCAAGATTTTGGCCGATTTCAACATTTTAGCTTTCCAAAATCCTGAATTCAAGATTTTGACCGATGTCAAGATCTTAGCTTTCCAAAATACTGAATTTAAGATTCTGGCTAATTTCAAGATTTTAGCTTTCGAAAATCCTTAATTTAAGATTTTGGGTGATTTCAAGATCTTAGCTTTCAAAAATCGTGAATTCAAGAATTTGGCCGATTTCAAGATTTTAGGTTTCAAAAATCGTGAATTCAAGATTTTTGGCAGATTTCAAGATGTTAGCTTTCCTAAATCCTGAATTCAAGATTTTGGCCGATTTCAAGATTTTAGCTTTCCAAAATCTTGAATTCAAGGTTATGGCCGATTTGATTATTTTACGTTTGCAAAATAGTGAATTCAAGATTTTGGGCGACTTTAAGATCTTAGCTTTCCAAATTCTGAGTTCAACACTTTGGGCGATTTTAAGATCTTAGCTTTCCAAAATCCTTCAATTCAAGATTTTGGCCGATTTCAAGATATTTGCTTAGGAAAAGCCTGAATTCAAGATTTTGGCGGATTCCAAGACTTTGCCTTTCCAGAACCCTGAATTTAAGATTTTAGCATATGTCAAGATCTTAGCTTTCCAAAATCCTGAATTTAAGATTCTGGCCGATTTCAAGATTTTAGGTTTCAAAAATCCTTAATTTATGATTTTAACCGATTTCGAGACCTTAGCTTTCCAAAATCGTGAATTCAAGATTTTGTCCGATTTGAAGAATTTAGCTATCCAAAATCGTGAATTCAAGATTTTGCATGATTTCAAGATCTTAGCTTTCCAAATCCTAAATTCAAGATTTTGGGCGATTTCAAGATCTTACCTTTTCAAAATCCTGAATTCAAGATTTTGGCCGATTTCAAGATTTTAGCATTTGAAAATCCTGAATTCAAGAGTTTGGCCGATTTCAAGATCTTAGCTTTCCAAAATTCTCAATTCAAGATTTTGGCCGATTTCAAGATCTTAGCTTTCCAAAAACCTAAATTTAAGATTTTGGCCGAGTTCAAGATCTTGGCTTTTCATAATCTTAAATTCACGATTTTGGCCGATTTCCATTTCCTGACAAATTACTTTGCTTTCCAAAATCCTAAATTCAAAATTTAGGCGGATTCCAAAATTTTACCTTTCCAGAACCCTGGATTTAACATTCTGGCCGATTTCAAGATTTTAGCTTTCAAAAATTCTTAATTTAAGATTTTGGGTGATTTCAAGATCTTAGCTTTCAAAAATCGTGAATTCAAGATTTTTGCCGATTTTAAGATTTTAGCTTTCCAAAATCTTGAATTCAAGATTTTGCATGATTTGAAGATCTTACCCTTCCAAAATCGTTAATTCAAGATTTTGGCCGATTTGAAGATCTAAGCTTTCCAAATCCTGAATTCAAGTTTTTGGGTAATTTCAATATCTTAGCTTTTCAAAATCCTGAATTCAAGAGTTTGGCCGATTTCAAAATCTTAGCTTTCCAAAATCCTAAGTTGAAGATTTGGCCCAATTTAAAGATCTTAGCATTCCAAAATCCTGAATTCAAGATTTGGGCCGATTTCGAGATTTTAGCTTTCGAAAATCCTGAATTCAAGACTTTGGCCGATTTCAAGATCTTGGCTTTCCAAAATCCGGAAATCAAGATTTTGGAAGATATGAAGATGTTTGCTTTCCAAATCCTAAATTCCGGATTTTGGGTGATTTCAAGATCTTAGCTATTAAAAATCCTGAATTCAAGATTTTGGCCGATTTCAAGATCTTAGCTTTCCAAAAACCTAAA